CCAAGTCGGAATTGCAAATGAAGGGGGGATTTACATTTTCCCTGCTTCATTTGTATAAACATGGCTGCCGCTTTTTTCCGGCTCGGGGCTTTGCTGGAAGAAAGCGCCAGTCTAGATGGGGATCTTTCGGAAAATAAAGCCTTTTCCGAAAGATCCCTTATTCCTCTTAAAAAAAGGACTAAGGGATCTTTCGGAAAAGGCTTTATTTTCCGAAAGATCCCCATCTAGACTGGCGCTTTCTTCCAGCAAAGCCCCGAGCCGGAAAAAAGCGGCAGCCATGTTTATGCAAATGAAGCGGGGGGATTTAAATCCCCGCTTCATTTGCAATTGCGATGTGTCTAATTTGCATCCCTTTTACAGAAAAGGGATGCAGTCTAGACACAGCCTAACAGATTTATTGGAGCATAAGCTTTCGTGGGCAAAGATGCATCTAACGAAGTGGGTCTCATTGTTCTTGCAGATTCAGACTAATACAGATTCTGATACTACAAAGGGAGCAGATTACAAGCCTGGGTGAAAGTGGAATGTGGGTACCAGCTCACACCCAGCTGGGCCAATTAGCTTGGGTGGAAAGCACCACTAAAGAGTGAATTGTTTTCTGTGTAGATGGGAGTGGGGTTAGGTACACTATGTCTACACTGCCTCTTTTTTACAGAAGAGGCAATGCAAATGAAGTGCTCATTAGCAACTTTTCATGCTTCATTTGCATATTCTCTTTCGATGCTTTTTGCAGAAGAGGATTTTGCGCAAGAACAATCGTGTAGATGGGTCCGTTTTGTGCAAAAAAAAACCCTTTTGCACAATATCTTTATGCCTCAAAAAAGGAAGTATACAGATCTTCCTCACAAGGGGGAGTGTTGTGAAAAATGGACCCATCTACGCTGCTTGTTTTTGCGCAAAAACCTCTTGTGCAAAAAGCCTTGGGCAGAGAATATGCAAATGAAGCGTGTCTTTCCCTCTTTCCCCCAAAAGGACGACATTTTCTTTAAAAACTCTACATCTGAGGCAGCGGCAGGTAAGGGCTGGCTCTCAGTGGTTATCACTGTCCACTCGCTATCTTCCATTGCTATTGTCTGAGGGCCCAATACACACCAATTGCACCTTCTCCTCTCTTGCTGACTTCACTGTAGGCCAATGGTGTACTTGTACTGAGGCTCTTCTGCTGAAAGCACTTGTGTATTGAGGGGAACCTGGTGCCATATTGCTGAAGAGCTGAAATCTACTGTGAGCTGAAATCACTGTTGCTGAGCTACTAGCAAAGCAGATTGTGGGATGGCTAGCAGAGCAGTTTATGGGGCCAACTGGTGGATGCAGGCTAGCAGCTGGTGGAGATGACCGACGGGTGGCTGGTGGAGCAGCTGCAGGACCTACCAGCTGGTGGCCAGGGAGCATGGATCTAGGCGGGCTGGCAGAGCAGACACTGCTCCATGGAGCGGCTGGGGGGGCTCACAGGACAGCAGTTGGAGTGTGGGGCAGTGATTTGCACCAACGGCGGCAGCAGAAACCCACGGAGAGGCGGAGCCGCCGGTGGACCGCGTAAGGTGTATCAACCCCTGCCCCGTTCATTGCACCCAGGTTGGGATGGTAAAACCCTGCCAGGTGAACTTTTGAACCCTGGGGCGGCACTGACCCGGGGCAGAGACTTTTGGGGTGTTGGACTTTGGGACTTTAGGTGATTTTGGGTTGCTGGACTCGAGAGACTTTTGGGGTGTTGAACTTTTGGGGACCTTGGGTGATTTGTGGCTGGGGGGTGGGTCTTTGCTCATGTCTGGTTTATGAATCTGAGTTGTGTTGTTTTCCCACTTCAATGCTGATGTCAGTTACCTTGTGTTATTAAAGATTTGCTGCTATACCAAGGCTCTGTGCTTGCGAGAGGGGAAGAATTGTCTCTTTGAGGCACCCAGGGGTGTGTGTAAGATTTCCCAGGTCACTGAGTGGGGGCTCGAGCTGGCGTTGTATTATGTTGTTGGGAGGAGACCCCTAGATATTGAACCCGGCCCTTGCTGCAATTATGTTGTCCTGACATAAGGGTTACATTTTTGGGGGCTCATCCGGGATTATCTGGGTCAGTACCCCTCGCAAGCAGGTTGTGGGCATTCCGTTAAATTGGGAAAACCCAAAATTATTGTTGTTGGTGTTTTAATCCGTTAGATTCGGGAAAATTTACAGTTTGCATAATGGCCTTACACTTGGTAGAGGATTTGTGCAAGGGGATGACTCTTAATCCTGAGAACTGTCTTCTGGTGCCGGGGGTGCCGGAGACGTTTGATGAGGGCTCGACAGAACCTATGTTAAGGACATTCACTGAGTACCTGAGTAAGTGCAAAATGTGTGGGCGCGTGTTTGTGAGGGAGCAAGGGACTTTTGCTGTATTATGTGAGCTGCAATTGGCTGTGGACCCTCTGCAGGTCACAGACACAATAGCAGGGGAAGATAGTGAGTGGACAGTGTTAACCACTGGGAGCCAGCCCTTACCTGCCCCTGCCTCAGATGTAGAGTTTTTAAAGAAAATGTTGGCCTTTTGGGGGAAAGAGGGAAAGACTTTGGCTGATATGCCAGGTCTTCTAGGCCTTGACCCGGGAGTCCCAATCCGGGTGGCTACTCCATCACCTGATGACTGGGTGAAGGCTCTGGGGCAGGCATTAGAGAAGGTTGCGCTACCCCACCCTGAGTCTGGACCCTATCTCAAACTGAGGTTGTTTTCTGGGGGTCCCACCCCAATACCTGGGGAGGAGGCATTTGAACCTTGGCTGGAACACACCACTGAGATGCTGCAGGAGTGGGCGGTGCCTGATGCTGAAAAGAGAAGACGACTAATAGAGTGCCTCAGGGGACCAGCCCTAGATGTGATTCGTACCCTGAAGCTCAGTAACCCTGGGGTCAAGGTGAAGGGCTGTCTAGAGGCCCTTGATCATGCCTTTAGGAGAACCGAGGGTTCAGAGGATGTTTATTGCAAGTTCCTCAGTGCCAAGCAACAAAAGGGGGAGAAAGTTTCTGCCTATATCCAGAGATTGGAGAAATTGTTACAAAGAGCCATCATGAGGGGAGCAGTAACAGTAGAGCAAATGGACCAGACTAGATTGACTCAGATTGTGAGAGGAATTCAATATCAGAACCTGATTCTTCTCCACCTTCGATTAAGGGAACGGCAAGACAATCCACCGAGTTACTCTCGGCTGATAAAAGAGGTCCGAGAGGAAGAGGAGAGGCAAGCAGCTGGAGAGGTTGGGATGTGCAGCCACACCGGGTGACAGGCACAACACCCATACAAATGCCCACAGTACTGATGGTGAATTCTCAAGAGGAACTTACCCAACGATTGCAGGCCCTGACGCAGAAAGTGGCCAAACTAGAGAATACCTTTGATTCAGCCAATACCTCAAGGTACAAGGCACCTTCTGCTACCACAGTCCAGAAGACTACATGTAGAGACTCTGCCCCACCCAGGCAACAAGGGAGAGGACAATCCTTCTTCTGCTACCGGTGTGGCCAGGGTGGGCACATCGCCGCAAGGTGTCACAATGCAGAGAATCCCACGCTAGTTTATCAAAAGCTGAAGACCATTTGGGGACAGTCAGGAAATGGCCCCAGGGCCTGGGAAGGGAGCCGCCCAGACCTGCAGGGTGTGGAGGCTCCCCTGGAAAGAGCCATGCAGCCCGAATCCCACCTGGATTGATAGGACCTTGGGTGGAGGTCACTGTAAAGATTGAAGGGACAGAATGTAGAGCCGTGCTTGACACGGGATCCCAAGTGACTATCATCATATTCCAGTCTTTTTACCGACAGGTGCTTAGGCATCTGCCTATACAGCCCCTTAAAGGGCTTGGCCTGTGTGGCCTCAGCATGGATGAATACCCCTATCAGGGATATATCATAGTACACCTGGAATTCCCAGAAGAGATCACTGGGGTAAGACAGGAGGTGGATACTGCTGCTTTAATATGCCCTGACCCTAAAGGGGCCTCTGAGGTGTCTGTGCTAATAGGGACCAACTGCAGCCTTTTCAAGGTCCTTGCAGATTACCGCCGACAGCGAGCAGGGAACCAGTATCTGAGCACCCCGGTGATACACACCCATTGTGCCGCAGCCTATAGAAAAATTGAGGACACACGAAAAGTGAGGCCTGACTTGCCAGTGGCCATTGAGGTACGCGAGCCCGGTCCCCTTAGTAGTACTTGCGCTGACAGAAAAAGAAGTGATTATCATGAGTACCTGCCTGAGAGGCAGTAAGGGAACATTGGCAGTGGTAGAGCAGCCGACCAAGGGAGGGCTCCCTGAAGGAGTACTGGTCCTCAGTGGTGTCATAAGCCTGCCTTCTGAAACCCAGGAAGAGGTAACTATACTGACTGCTGATGAAACGAGCCGTGATGTGTTTGTAAGACCAGGACAGAAGATTGCAGACATGTTTGAGCCTGAAACCATTTTGAGACCCCAGTGTGAAGCTCCGCCGTTGGATCCTGCAAAGTTTGACTTCAGGGACTCACCGTTGCCTGAGGAGTGGAAGGATTGCCTGAGGAAGAAGCTTGGCAAGAGATCCAAGGTATTCTCACTGCATGAGTAGGACGTGCCATGAGTGCCAAGGGTATGGAACACCACATCAAGCTTCAAGATCCCTGACCCTCAGGGAGAGGTCTAGGAGGATCACACTCTCTGGGGGTATGTCTACACTACCCCGCTAGTTCGAACTAGCGGGGTAGTGTAGACATACCCAGAGTGTCCACACTGCCATAGATGCTCTTGTGTGAAAGCACAGCTCGCACATGGAAGAGTGGATGTGTTCTTGCATGAGAACACTTGTGCAAGATGTTCTTGCGCAAGAAACAACAAGTGTAGACATAGCCTAAGAGAGTCCTCACATGAGCAAAATGAATTTTGTGTTGTGCACCAGTATTGAGTTCATGTGGCTTGTTTGGATATGCCACCCAAGTTATTAATAAATATTTTTAACCCTCT